GTTTCACCATGTTGACCAGGATGGTCTCGATCTCTTGACCTGTAATCAAGGATTACAGGCTTGAGCCACCACCGCCCGGCCATAGAAAAAAATTTTAAATAAATTTGAAAAATTAAATCAGTGTGCAGAAGAAGACACATAAAAACAGTTAAAACAACAACAACAAAAAAGAAAAAGTTTAAGGCCATACAAACATTTAACATATAATTTCAACTCTGTTGTCAAGTCTGTATCTTAGGTAGATGAACGAAAAAAATAAAAATAAAACAAAATAATTTCAACTGTGAAAAAATAAGCTTATTTATGAAATGATGTGTCTTTTTTTTTTTTTTTTTGAGACAAAGTCTCCCTCTGTTACCCAGGCTGCAGTGCCGTGGTACAATCTCAACTCACTGCAACCTCTGCCTCCCAGGTTCAAGCAATTCTCACACCTCAGCCTTCTGAGTAGCTAGGACTACAGGCATGTACCACTACACATGGCTAAATTTTTTTGTATTTTTAGTAGAGGCATAGTTTCATCATGTTGGCAAGGCTGGTCTCAGACTCCTGGCCTCAAGTGATACACACACCCTGGTCTCCCAAAGTGCTGGGATTATAGGTGTGAGCCACCGCTCCTGGCCATGATGATGTGTCTTCTATAAAAACCAATGAAGGTCAGGCACACTGGCTCATACTTTAATCCCAGCACTTGGGGAGGCTGGGGCAGGTTGATCACCTGAGATCAGAAGTTCAAGACAAGCCTAGCCAGCATGGTGAAACCCCAAGTCTACTAAAACTACAAAAAGTAGCTGGGTATGGTGGCTCATGCCTGTAGTCCCAACGACTTGCAAGGCTGAGGCACGAGAATTGCTTAAACTGGGAGATAGATTCTGCAGTGAGCTGAGATCGCGCCACTGCACTCCAGCCTGGGCGACAGAGTGACACCCTACTTCAAAAAAAAAAAAAAAAAAGAGCAAAAAAACAAAACAGGCCAGGCACGGCAGCTCATGCCTGTAATCCCAACACCATTTTGAGGCCAAGGGAAGCAGATAACTTGAGGCCAGGAGTTTGAGACCAGCCTGGCCAACATTTTATCTCTACTAAAAATACAAAGATTAGTCAAGTGTGGTGGTGCAAGCCTGTAATCCCAACTACTCAGGAGGCTGAGGCACGAGAATCACTTGAACCCAGGAGGCGGAGGTTGTGCACATTAACATGTGACTTCCATGTGCAGCTTCTGTACTTCTGGTCAGCTGACTGCATCCAGATGTTGCCTCTAAACAATCTCTGCTGCCCACAGCTCTGACATCACGGGGCCCACACCCTGTCTCCATCTATCCCTGGGTGTGAGCCCCTCCCAGGACCATGCTCAGTGCAGCCTCTTTCCAAGTTAATGTCACTGGGTCACAGTGAGATAGAATCTAAGTGAGATGAGAGAAACTGAGGGAAGGCATGTGTGAATGCCAGCAAACACATCTGGCACGACGCTTCAGACTCAGAGAAGATTTGCAACTCCAATGCCTCGCATTTCAAAAAGGAAGGAGACAGAATGATCCACTAAGAATGTCATTTTACCTGTGTAAGAGCCATCCCTGACTCCTTTGCTTTCCTCTTCTTCCTCTTCTGGGCTTCCCTCTCAGTCAATATAATTAACTCTTTACAAGTCAAATCTGAAAGTGAAAAATCTGTTTAATGCTTGGAAACAACACATTCCTTTCTGTGCTACAACCACGAACACAGGGAAGACCTCAGCATGTGGAGAGACGGCCCACAGCATGGGAGGAATAAGGATAATAAATTCCTACACAAAGATCAAGTGGCTAGGAGTGGTGCCTCAGGCCTGTAATCCCAGCACTTTGGGAGGCCGACGTGGGTGGATCATGACGTCAGGAGTCCAAGACCAGCCTGATCAACATAGTGAAACCCCGTCTCTACTAAAATAATTAGCCGGGCATGGTGGTCGGCACCTGTAGTCCCAGCTACTTGGGAGGCTGAAGCAAGGAGAATCGCTTGCACCTGGGAGGCAGAGGTTGTAGTGAGACGAGATTGCACCACTGCATTCCAGACAGTGCAAGACTCCATTTCAAAAAAAAGAAAAAGACCAAGTGAGCTTTTTACTCTTTTCTTCAGAACTTACTACCCTCCTGGAGAAGCCCACATACAGGCTGCAGCAGTGGGGGGCTGGGTTGGCCTGGACTTCGGTTCAGGGCACAGACCCGGCCCTAATCAAACCCCATGCAGAGCATAGCCCTCACCTCTCTGTGGATCACAGGCTGATGA